TAATAACAATAATCATAATAACAGTAACAATAATAACAATAGGCCTAATAATAATAATAATAATAATAACAACAACAATAATAATAATAATAATAATAATAATAATAGATAGCACTAGTATTGTGCTCTATCCCTGTGAGAAACAAGTTCTGAGCACTGTACAGCTATCACTATTACCCCATCAGACCCTGGAACATTCAGAAACAACTTCAACTTTCTGGGAAACACGTAGTGCAAGCCGCCATTTTGCAGGCACCAAAACACTATCATACTGACAGGGTCTTTTGCTGTGTATATAGCCACTATGTCAGGCCCCTTTTTTGGTACTAAATCTACAAATGACAAAAACGTCACTAAATGGTTCATTAAATAAAAAAAAGTATTCCTATTTTGATAGTTCTTCATCTAAAGAATGAACTCCCGAAAAAAAGAGATCTGTCTTCAGCTATTGCCGAAAAGTAATTTGATGTTGAAGTCATCGTAAAGGAATGTGCCCGAACCGCCGTCAGTAGCACAGTGGTTCAAGTTGGAAGCCGCTGGGAGCGCCTTGTCAGAGATAAAGAGTTAATCAACTGATATACGGGTCAGAACAAGATACCATCTCGCACCTGGTCATTAGAGTAGACAGACACCTGCGACATCTAAGTGACTGATATAAATAGGTCAGAACAAGACAATGATTCCCCACCTGGTCATTAGAAGTGACAGACAATAGCGACATTAAATAACTGACATATGATCCCCCACCTGGTCGTAAGAAGAGACAAACAACTGCGACAACTAAACAACCGATATATATAGGTCAGAACAAGACATGATGATCCCCCACCTGGTCATTAGAAGAGACAGACAACTGCGACATCTCAATATCTGATATATAGGTCAGCATGAGACACAATCCCTCACCTGGTCATTAGAAGAGACAGACAACTGCGACATCTCTCCCACCATCTTGACCCAGCTGGTCCCCACAGCAGACTGTCTGCTCCAGAACATGTCGTCGCCAAACGTGCCGTTCCGGAACCACACCTGCCCATCTCTGCTGATGGCCCAGACAGCATGCTTGCCCACCGATACTTGCATGAGCCGCGTGTCCTCGTCGGGGTACTCTACAACAGTCCAGCCCGTTCCTGGAACAAATGATAGGTACAAGCAATTAAAAACTTACAAAGAAATTGATCATATATTCCTCATGAAAGTCTCAAGTAAAACAACTTTAAGTTTGCCGGAATTGAGATTATCAATTGGGTTTGCTGTAGATGAATCTATCAGTGGAGTGGTGTCCATAGAGAGAAACAGCTTGTAGTATGCTCATTTGGTAATTCTGGGCTATGATGTGGAAGGGCCTAGTTTAAATCCCCAATGAGGCACTCTTGAACCTTGGTTGTTTGGAGGAGTCTGCAAGGCTCTCCGCCTGCTAGGCTACGTTAAATTGGAGATAAACATCAAATTCATAGGTCCCACCTCTTAAAAATTAGCTTTACACCACTGCAAGGGAAGTCAATCCCTTAAAGTTAATTTTACACACAGCGACCAATACTTTGCTAAACTTAAGGTATAAGGGGAGTAAGGCAAAAGACAAACTCAAATAAATTCTGACCACTTATGCCAGCTCCGACACATTTTCCTTACTCACAATAAAAAATGAGGCTACAGCTTTGTTTCAGTGATTTATGAATATCAAAGCCGAGAAGTTTTATCAAAACCAAGTTTATCACTGAGGAAATTTCGAGGGAAAAACAAACCAGATATCTAATCAATTTTGGACATATTCAACACTAGCATTGCATTCTCATACATGTTTGCCCCCAGGTATGACAAGACGTTAAAAATTTCTCACCATACACGTTGTCCTTTGTGACATTATTCCTGACGAGAGCGTGTCCGTCCCACGTGACCCCCCACACCAGGTTGCTGGAGCCGACGGACACGTTGATGAGCCCCATGTGGTCGCCAATCTCCAGCATCTGCCACAGGCTACCTTCGGGGTTCTCGTGGTTCACCGACGTCCGTACGTACACCTGGGCATACGGTCACACAACAACGTAAGTACAAGGAAATCAAAGTTATTCCTGAACCGTACAATAAAATGTCAGGCATCGTGGTGAAGTCAGGCGCTCGTCAAAATAAGGAAAGTCAAGAAATTGGCATTTTTCTGCAGGTTTCAGAATTTTTATTGAATTTTTGTTTTTTGGCTCAACACCTTTCATGCCCATTAAAGAGCACATTTCTCTGTGGCTTTTACTGAAAAACGTTGATTAACATCAGAAAAATGTAGATTTTTAGATTCCACGGACTCTCAAGCTAAAGAAATAATTCAACTTTGGCGGCCATTTTCTCGCAAATTTTACCTCTGAAATCAGGCGAACCCCACCTCCTTCAATTGCCAATATCTTGACTTGCATCCAATATAGATGGATACTTTTTTCTATTTAAAGGAAGGCAAATGGACAGGATTTAAGACGACACCAATAACACCAGGTGCCCCAAAATTGACGAGCGCCTGATTCCATCACATGACACATATGTCTTTTTTAGAGATGGAACCTCCAATTTAAAATCAATACCCAATAGGACCGAGACTAAATCTAGTGGCATTGGTGGCCTAGTGGTAAGGCTCTCGGACTCGCAAATGCAAAGTCGTGGGTTCGAATCCCGACAGGGGCCCCGATGTTGTGTCCTTGGGTTGTCACCCAGATGGAAATGGGTACCCGGCTACACTGCTGGGACGTAAATCCCTCTCAGCCTAAGTTGGCACAGACAGACAGGGTCGAGGCCCGTATCCTAAATGATCTAAATTGTGTTGATGGAGGCATAAAAAACAAACAACCCCCCCAACGACTCCTACATTTCCTTTGTTTATGATGGCCCGGACAGACAGCGTTGAAGCCCGTTTCCTAACTGATCTAAATTGAGTCAATGAGAGCATAAAAAAAAAAATCTACATTAAAAAACAACACAAAAAAACGACTCTTACATTTCCATTGTTTGTGATGGCCCAGACAGACAAGGCCAAAACCCGAGTCCTAAACGATCTAAATTGTGTTGATGGGGGCATAAAAGAATCTGCATTAATAAAAATATTCTAAAAAATCAAAAACAACTCTACATTTCCTTTGTTTGTGATGGCCCGGACAGGCAGTGTTGAAGCCTGTGTCCTAAATGATCTAAATTGTTTCGATAGGCCTGTAAAAAAAAAAAAAGACATGACCAAAAAAAAAAATACAATGAAAAACCAACTCTTACATTTCCGTTGTTTGTGATGGCCCAGACAGAGAGGAAGCCGGCTGGCTGACTGGGGAGAAGAAATCCACCGACGCTGAGGTCCATGAAACACTCCGTGTTCTCCACTACCTCCATGTCTGAGATCTGGCAGCAAATAGCAATGGATCAAAAGAGTACAGCTAAAATGGTGTTATTGTTCATATCAAATTTTGTTTTTCATAAACTGGTTCTCAGCAGAATGAAACATGCATTTTTGCATAGAAATTACTGAAGACTCAGATTATATTATCATACATCTAAACAGAAAGTTCTATATTCAAGGATCCCCCCCCCCCCAAAAAAAAGAGAAAATTTTGAAGCTCAACATTATCAAAGTAAAATTATGTTCAGAGAAAAAAAAATCAACCGCAGACAACATACCCGGGCCCAGACTTCCATGGATGAGAACCGCCTGAATCGTATCCACTTCCTCTTCCGCACGCATGAGTTCCAGTGTTTCTCCGGCGTGTAAACACCGGGGAAGTCAAACGAATACTGCCAGCCCTGAGGTCAAAGACACACATCAGTCGTATATATTGATTCTTTCTACATGTTTGTACACATGATCTACAATAAAAATACAGGGAATGCAAAAGTAGGAAATGTGAAGCAAAGTTCATTGGAGACACAATGCGGACAGAAGCATTGGAGAATATTGTAACAACAGGTAAGTTTGATGGAAAGAGAGGCAGAGGCAAACAGAGGGAAGAGATACTCAACAAGTTGACAACATGGCTGAGAACTGCAAGAACGACAGACACCATCGCTGCAACACAAGACAGAGTGAAGTGGAGGTCCATGATCGCCCACGCCAGTCGGCAAGGCACCGGATGATGATGATGAGAATGCTTAAAAAATACTTTCAGTTGTCTGCTGTTTTTGCTGTAGTTGCTTAAATACAAAATCACCAATGACTTAAATGTTTTAAAAGCCTTTAGGAGTAATAAATTTCCCTCACCTCGTAGCCAACGACCTCTCCCCTCAGATTGTCGTCAATGAACCACTCGCCCTCCCAGGCCCAGTGAGCTGAAGGGAGTCGAACATTTTCCTTGGGTCTGTATTCATGGCCCCGCTCACAACTCCATCCTGGTCGGTCAGTAGGTATCAATCCCTTCCCTGAAAACCCGTGAAAAGGGGTCCAGCGCTTGAAGAAGATGAGAAATATTAAAAAGTATTACTTGGTCAGTCGAGCAAAGTAAAAGTTACAACAAAAAACACACCGACACATACAATAAAAAAAGAAATAATTGATAAACTCACAACCAGTTTTCATAAAGAGATTCATCAAGGACCCATCATCCTCTTTTTTTTTTTAAAGAAAGAATATTGAATGACCTTAGCACTGAGATCTGTAAATGCATATCACTTTGATTATTAAATTTTGAATTTAAAATATGCCTTACATTGCAGCACTTCAACACGATGTATATCTTCAAGCACTTAACATCATGTTACATTTTTAGTTATTTACCTGATTCTCGTAAGTAGTTTCTGGAACGCGGATGGGCACGTCAGAGGCCAGGACATAGATGTAGACCCTGTGGTCATGCCCGATAGACCAGGCACACCAGTGGCTGGCTGACACTCGCTTAACCGGGACCGAGTCATCCCAGGTGTTGTCCAGTTGGGCAAATCTCCGCTGGGATGACCCCAAGGTGAAGGCCGTGCCATCATGGTTCAGAAGCCACAGCTTTGAGACTGGCATTCTGCCCCGTCATAGTAAAAGTACAAAAAATAAAATAAAATACAGTAAGAGGTGGAGGTAGAGTAGCATGAAAGAAAATGAAATACAGTAAGAGGTGGAGGTAGAGCATGAGCATGAATGGTCCACAGATTTCATAAACAGTCGAACCTTCCTGAACAGCTACCTGCCAAAGTCATTCACCTGTTAAGCGCCTAGTCTCACCTAGTCTAAGTATCTACGTACACGGTAACCGGGCACCTAGTCTCAGTATCTACATACACAGTCGGAATGAAAATAAATCAATATTTTGTCATTTGCTGGAAAAAAAGAAAGTCATACAAGTGTCTTGTCGGGCTCGCCATCGTGACCGGTCAGTGAACCTGTGCGTGTGCATCACATTGTGAGTACCGGTTGGGGTCACCAAAGTTCATTCAAAGCCTGTGCGCTGCGAAGTATAGGGCTCCGGAATGGGGGGGATTCTTTTTTTTTTTTAAAGGTACAGGGGGAGGGGTGGGGATGAAGGCAACACCGGACGACAAAAACTGAACTTGGAGTTTTGAACTGCCTGGTTAACGAGTACGTGACACTGAGACTACGAGCCTGGTTGCTGGTTACCGTGTACGTAGATATTGAGGCTACATGCCTGGTCATCGTGTACATGACACTGAGACTACGTGCCCGGTTGCCGCTTACCGTGTACATAGACACTGAGGCTAGGTGCCCGGTTACCGAGTACGTAGACACTCCGTTATTTCTATGATTAGACTGGCACTGTCCAAGATGTCAACCTGTTATGACATCCACTTACTCTTTGGTAATGAGTGGCCGTCTTAGAAAAGTTTGATCATATTTCATTCTCAAAAGCTGATGCAACAACAGCATGTTCTGACCAATTTTAATAGTCAATAATACTAATAGAAACAATGACCCTCGCAAGGCACAGACCCCTGTTGGCTCACACTTGTTGATTAGGCTAATGATTTATTATGGTAATTTTGACTCTATCACTGAATGCTTCATCTATCTATCACTAAACATTGAACATTCCCTCTAAGTCAATTCAGCTAGAAGATCTTATTCACCTACTGTTGTATCTTTTCTTCATTAAATTCTAGATTTATAAACAGAAACAAAAAATGACTTACCTATTCATCCTACTATTCTGATATCCTATAAATTTGGTGATCATTAAAGGTGAAAATGGTTTATGGCATAGATCATAAATATCGTACAGTAGGGCCTATCATCGTGGCAACAACAGGACAGCGTACACGCGAATCACGGGTCCCAAACACTTGTACTTGACGTAATATCAATTGATAACTCTAGGCCTCTCTTTACTCTAGCCTATAATATTGCAGAGACAGTTATGACAATCAAGAATTCAAGCAAGACGAAAGCTCTAATTACTCTTAATTACCTTTAATCTAAGAGCATCATAGGCCAATGAAAGGCTCCAGCAATCACAGCGACTACTAAAATCGCAAACAAGCTCCCCTCAAGGCATCGAAGAGCACGACAGTTAGCCACTTTCACGATGAAGAAAGTAGCCACTGGGTAGCAAACACAAACAGCGGAGTTCCACTTCCAGAAGAGGAGTTTCACACTCCCTTGCGGATTTTCCCAATACGTAACTCACGTGACTTCCTGAACAAAAAGAGTGATCCTTCTTGAATGTAAACTATTTTTAACACTAGGCTAATGAGTTCACATCATAGAATTCTGTGGTTCACATGCACTCACAGAATAAGTGTAGAATTCTGTGCATGCACTCAGAGCATGGAGGGGGCGGACGTCGAAAATTGTATCGCAATATTAATTGTTATAATACATGAATGCATGTAGCCTTCCTCAGAATTGTTCAGAAGTTTGAATCTCTGTTTTAATAAACCTATTCAGGTTACCGATAAACGGAACTATAGCTTGACTGTATCTGGTTGCAAATTCGCCCCCACCTAGGCCTAGCCGGTCAAAGGTCCTGAAAAGATATCAAATGCTACTTACAACTTAAATATATAACCCTTTCTAGCCATTCCAAATTATTATTTTTTTGGTGCCGAGGGGACATACAACAAACATTTAATTTAATTTCTTTGTTTTAAGCGATGATCCCCCCGATTGCCCATGCCATAAACATATCAGAGATAACTCTATGCACAAATATAGCCCATGTTGGCAGACGCACCCAGCAGTCTGTGGTATATGTAGTACCCATGTTACAACTGAGCGAACTATCTTTAAAAATGGGCCACAGTTAGCCTATTTCTTAAAGGGATACAACATCCTATTCATCGGATCCGGCACGTCGAGTTTTCAACTTTTTTGGGGGGTGACAAGTTGGAAGACTGACAGCAAGGCTAGTCGAGTGCGTATTTGTACTGGGAGCGATTTTGACAGGATCTAACACAGTTTAGGAGACCTGTAACAAAATCAAGATTTACTTGAATAAGTAGTTTTCCAGAAATTAAAGGAGAAAAAACGAGAAAAAGAGATCAGAGTAGGTAGCTTACAATGGTGCAACGTTGAGTGGGTGTTGGTTCGAGCTACTGTCATTATATTGCAAATTTTGAACTGTGGTCAGTGTCGATTGAAAGCCTAGTGTACTTTTTGTTGAGAGCCATGCATTTGTGATCTCACATTTTTACTGCATCCATTGCAAATTCACAAACGTAATACTGCTAGTCATCTTGATTACACAGGTTGGCCTAATTCATTTTGCTGTTACGTTCAATAAGAGATGGATGCTAAAATCTAAGATCTCTTCCCTTGTAGAAAAACAATTATTGCGTTGAAAAAGGCATTATACTATATTCACACAAAGGGAATCTTCAACTATGCCGAGTGTGCTTTGAGAGGAAAGAAGAGTGGGGGAAGGAGTTACGTCTGTTTAGGAGAGACGTTCAGAAATAAGGGAGCATACTCAGATGTTCTTTATGTGCATGACTAGTAAAACCCGAGTTATGTCCCCCGTCTTTTGAAGTGAAGTTGTGCATGTCGCATCCTCCTTGTATGTATGTACGTGTTTGTGGTGTGTGTGTGTGTGTGTG